CTTCTTAAATAAATCAGAAAACACTTCGCGTAACAATTGCCGTTGAATTCTTTTTGGAATTTCCAACCAACAACCGGGAAATTTTTTAAATTTGAACCGGGATTTCAAAATTAAAAGTCACTGGCAACCCTGTAAGGAGAATTCAAACGAATTAAAATAATGGAAGGAACTCAAGTAACCACGAAGCCCGCTCATGACCCGATAAAAGGGCCCTTTTTGCAATACATGGCTAATATAGAGCTTCCAAGTTTTATATCAGCAATATATCAGCTTTATATTGCAAAATGGGCCCTTATCGGGCTTGTTAGTTACTTGGGAAGCTTCAGTGAATTCTTAGAAAAAAATAAATGCGAAGAGAATCTGAAAACGAACTTCATGATTTTTTGGGGTGCTCTGCAGAGAATGACTGGACTATTATAAGAAATATTCAAGTGACTCCCAGAGAGAATCTCAAATTTACTTTAGAAGAATTCTGAAAAGAACTCTGTGAAGGAAAATGCTTTTAAATGCTATAGAACAATCAAATAAAATAAATTTTGAAGTCTTCGACGCAGAACCAAATTCCAGATACAGAAATTCTGTCTTTATAATGAAACATTCAACCTGCTTATATCTTCTGCTCAATCACATTCGCTTTTGCGTTGGGATTTGCTGGTCACCATGAGTTCACTGCATTTCTTCAAAGTTCCCTTAAATTTTTAGAATTCTATTGATTTCCTGCGAAGGATCTATTTGAAACCCATTAAATTTCAACGAAGTGCCCTGAAGCTTGAGGAATGGCGTCCCAATTTTTCGAAGCTTTCAATTTTTTTTATAATGAACATCGAAAAAGTTTTTGAAGTTTAAAAAAGTCTAATTAAGTTGGAAAAATCCCTGAACTTCAACGAAAATCCCAGAATTTCTACGGAATTCGCTAAATTTCTCGCTAATTTTTAACAAAAATTGAATCAGCTCTATAAAGTCCTATGATCTTTCACAAAACTTGCTGAAGTTTCACAAAATTCTATTAAATTTTATTATGATCATTGAGCTTCTACAAAGTAAGCTGAACATCTATAAAATTTGTTGCACTTCTAGAAAGTTTCTAGAACTTCTACGCAGTTCAATGAATGTTAACGGTGTTTCCAAAAGTTCTACGATATGTCTTGAAGATCTATAAAGTTCCTTGAAATTCTACAACGTTTCCTTTGCTTTTAAAAAGTTCTCTGAAGTCAAATATATCTTAACTTTTACGAATTCCTCCCGACTTTTAGGAAGTCTCAGTTTTATAAATCTGAAATATTGAACACCCCACCCGCAAATTTTGAAAGTAGCGGTGAAGACATCTCGTCGATCTACATCGTTGAAGATTTTTTCTAAATACGCCCAGCATCCCTGGGCTGAATAATTCATGTCAGGGAGCTTTTTGCAATCTAAAATAATGCGCCGAAAAAAACTGCTTTTGAATTTTTAAAAAAATGCATCAAAGTAAATTGAACCTTAAGGAATGTGATCAGGGCATCGTAAAAGTGTAAGAGCCTGGAGGAGGATTCGCCATCTAATCAAAAATCCTGGGTACGGCTCATTTTGAGATACTTAAATCAGAAACTCTTGATCAATTCTTATAGGAAATTTACGCCACTTTTCAAATCTGCAATAATATTTAGGGGTTACTTTTAATTTGTTGAGTTACCGTACAGGAAAAAAAACTGTTGTAACGTCACGTAGAATGTGTATGTAGATATTTCCCATGTCCAACTACGAGAGTTTCATTTACGTTACACAAAGAGATAAGTTGTCTGACTCTAAGTGAAAAAAGTTTCTATACTGGTTCTGTTATCTATATTATATAGATACCGTAAAACGGGGTATCTTTGACAATGCGGTTAACTTTGATAGTAGAATTTTAATGATTAAATTTACTCTCTGTGCTTTTTTTCCGAATTAGAATCATTGCTTTCATATTGTAGCTTAGGGTATTTCCGTTGATATGGTATATAGTTTTTTATATAATATGTGTTACATATTTTTCAAACATATTAAAAAAACAAATTTTCTTGTTTTCCGTCTGTTCGAAAAAGCACTCAAACCATCAATTATGAAATGTATTTCCAATATAGCCATCATAAATGCAATGTTGTATTCTTATTGCTTATGATGTTTTCTGATTATATACTCATTAAAAATTGCATATTTCAAGAACTAAATTATTTGAGTTTCACACATTTGCTGCTACCATCATCGAGCATTATCAAAGTAACCCCAAATCAAAATACTGATGTGCGGTCACAAGACTAAAAAATAGTCTAATTCTTTAATTTTCGTTAAGCATATTACTACGAATTGACTCTAGGATCCTCTGTACTAAAATAAAATTTGAAAAACAATAATTACTGTAAAAAATATTTAGAATATACTTCAAAAAACTATCAAAGCTACCCCGTTTTACGGCACCAGGATTTTAATGATCCGTGTCATAACTAACTAGGCTATGGAAGACCCTACTTAATGGAAACATTTTTAATTTAAAAATCTGTCGAATCAGTTTCGTCAATTTCGATTATCATATCAATTTTGCTTAGTATCATCACCGATAAAAAAAAATCAATCAACGTTAGCGATGATAAAACTGTAATCAGCGCTTTAACCTATTTTTGTAATCAATTGTTGAAAAAAATCAACCAAACATTGTTTGATGAAGTAGTTTATTGAAACTATGATATCAGGTCGAAGGACAAAATTCGGTTTTTATTCGAAGCAACCCCAGTCTCGTCACTATCAATAAGGCTAAAAACGTAACAAGGATTAAAATGTGTTCCTTCGATTACTGAAAAAAAACCTTATCACCCTAGTTTAAAGTAGTCAGGGGTTCTAGGGTTCGGTGGTAGATCTGTAACCGTAACACACCACGAAGACGTGATTTTCCAGCGTTACGGGGCTCAAATTTTGTTATTAAAGGTCCACTCTCGAAACCTGCGTGAGAAACAATTTGGGTTTTATTACAGTTGTGCAGACCATGATTTTCACTAGAAGAATGTTTCAAAATTATCACCCAACGGAGACGCCCCGGCGAAGTGATTAGCATCCATACCCCTCTTACCAATGTCACGAGTTCATATCTTCTCAACTGACCATAATAATAAAATATATAAAACCTGCCATTTTGCTTGTCTGCATAACCAGTTTCGAGCCAAAAACGAATAAGCGAATCGAGTCAGTCGAATTCGAGACCTGAAAAACTACAGTTAAGTTTCTCCTTCTCCAAATTATCACCGTCTCTGCTCCCGTCTGATAGATTGGTTTAAGAACTGGCGTTCATAAAAATGAATAGTCGCCTTGAAGTCTTCAAGAATGAAAATAAAAATCTATGCACTATCCTTGTATCTATAATTTAAAACCTACCGAACAGCTCACCGTAGTAATGATGGTAATATGTACCTAATAATAGCTACAGAAGTTCATCAGTCTTAAAACCAAAATGCACTGAATGAGCTTGCAAAATGTGCCGGACCATCGCTAGAAGTACATATATCGAATCTCTTCAATTTTATCCAGAAGAGTTCTCCTGAAGTCCCCAGAACGTGTCTATTAGGTCCTCCCAACACTCCTTGAAAGCTCCCTAGTCTACTACTATAAGATCTAGACTTACACAAATTTTCCAAACCATTATTTTGTGTTTTCAAAAACAAATCACTTTGCACATTTAAAAAATACATTCAAACAGATAGGGAGAAAGGGCTACCCAACTAATCTTGGGTAACTAAGGTTAACATGCTTGATGTATGTTTGATCGTTACCCTGTACATCGAATCCCTATTGAATTGTCGAATTTACTTATTCGTAATTGTTGGAATTTAATGTATTAATCTTACCCGGAATTAACTGCACAAATGACGTACTTAATTCAATCAATAACAAAGTAGACATAAAGTATCTTGTGTCAAATCCGCAGTCTACCTGCATAAAAGCGTTCATGTTTCTATAAAGTGAGACAACCTTCGCTCAATTGGTAAAGGTAATTAGACCATGCTAGTGGCTGCTGGGTTCAATTCCCAGTACGGCATTTTAAGAGCTTTAAGTTCCTCCTGCCAGGACGCTGATCACATCCTTTGGTCTTGTACGGAGTATCGTGGAGTCAGATCACATTTTTATGATTCCCTTCGGGCTCGAGGTAGACAACCTAATGTTCCAGTCGGGATATTTTGGCTAGAAGCGATCTGGAGCTAATGAAACTTATATATGTTTACTTTAAAAATATTAACCTTAGATTTTAAGTTTGATTAACCTTGTGTTTAGTTTGTATTTTGTACGTGTGGGTTTTTTTTTTGTCAATGTTTGTTTTCAAGATGAATAGAAATAATTACATGTTTTAGGATTAATTGAATATTTGTATCGTAAACCACATTTCAAACCTTCTTCTTCCCTTTTCCCATCCAAAAAATTGTAAATCTCCACTAACCTCAATAATGTATAACGGAAAAGATAACTCGGCTCTGTAAAGTTTATTCGATTGACCCTGTACAAATAAAGTAACTATAAAAAAAGTAGCCAAAGAAGGAAAAAAAGTTTTTATCAAACCACAATTAATTCATATGTCGATAGGATTGTTTGACCTTCTCCGTATTGTTAAATGTCAATCAGAATAACTAAACGTCAAACGTCACTGCAACGCATGGCTAGCAGCTGACAGACAATTTAAGAAAAAATCAATTTCGCCATTTGAACATATAGGGCGTAAAAAACAACGATGTCACCATCGTCCAGATTGTACATTGCCTCTTTCATGCCCTCTACAAGAAAGACCGGGTCGGCTCGTTGCCATGAACCATACGAAATATGCTCACTTAACATGATGAGCGACATGTGAATTTTATATCGTGGTCGATAGATTGCCTCTTGAGAGCCTTTTCCATCGACCGCAATCTCGTGGTTCATAGTGAAATCTAATTACACTTCCAACTGGGTCTATACCGCAGTATAGATTCGAAAAATTAAATAATGAAAAGCACGTGTAAACTTACCTACTGGGTGCAGCTTTTCCGGCTTGAACCAAGCATCTGTGAAATGGATGAAATAGAAATAAAAAGTGTTATTAAGTGTTATAATGGAACGAACATTCAATTGGGAGATACCAAGCACAAGGTTTCACTCGTTCTCGTGTATTTTCCATCCTCATGCATGCTATGCAACTGAATATAGTGAAGAACTAACACTTGGCACTACTTCAACTACTACAATTGCATTTGCATTTTTATGCTAGATAGTATCATGGAACAATTGCTTCTGAGTTGCTGATTTATAAAACATTTAGTATTAATAATTAATGCATTCTCAATTAGCTGGACAAAGGAGTTGGGTTTCTCTGCGTGCATCGATTCAAGATTTATTGTAACAATCTTAATTGATGAAAATCTTTTTCTTGGAAAAAAAAATCGCGAAGAGAATCCCCACCCATCAGTTAACCCCTGATCGGTTTGACTAGACTGATTTCATAATAATCTCATGCAGTGCCCGTTTGAGTGCTTTCCATTACCAGCAGGAAGCGAATCAACATTTGGGTCACTAATTGAGTTCATCGAAACTGTCCGCCAGCAAAAAATGGACTACTTACAAGGATTCATCACACTGCAGATTATGAGCGGGTTACAAGATTTTACGTTTCCTTCCATTCCGTTCATTGAGCCTCGACGAAACGGGAAAAAAAGTAGCTCTTCCGCCTTCGGTTCCTCGAAAAATGAAAATTATGCACTTTCCACCTTTGTTAAGTTTCGACCGTCACCTTTCGCGTACCGGAATGATTAGTTTTGCTAAAGGGTGTCACTTTGAAGTATAAACAAGTTTCCACGAATCAATTTTTGCGAATTTGTTTCTTCCGTACAGTTAAAACCAGCGAGTACGATTGTTCTGGTCGTATGTGGACACTTTATCGAAGAGTTCTGTGCGAATATCGATTTTTCCCCAAAACGTCGTCACTTGGCTCACTCTCTTCAGCTCTGTCTCTATGTCTATTCCCTCTCACCAGCACGACCACTGAGCTCAACCACGTTCCTCTTTTGTGTTCTATGACCGAAGCATGCGAAATCAACTGGCCAACTACTGAGCACAGTGGACCCTGCCTAGTACCTATAGGATCACTGCGTGGATACTCTTCTGCTCTCGTGGCCTCTCAATGTCCACATCCCATCACAGGATGTCTCTCGCATGTTCCTTTCCAGAATAGTATTTGTGTGTGAGAAGGATACATCATTTTGCGCTGTTCCTAGAAACGCAATATTAGCGCATGAGCAATACCACCCGATGAGTGCGCTATCCTTTTCAGGAAGAAAAACATTACCCATAAACAAGAAGAAACCGTTTTTCCGCAAAACATTGCCCTCAAAACCGATCTGTCATACTTTGTTATGAATCATTCGTGTCTATCGGAACAGATAATCAATATCAATCGTACCAAATATGTTGACAAAAATCCCTTACATGGTCAGTTTATGCCTTTCCTTTGTCTCATTGGTTCTAAATATTGAATCGCAATCAATGCGTTATGTACAAACAGATAATTGCTATCCCAATACTGACTAGACTTTGCATACAATCCATACATATGGGTAGCCAATAATTCAAAGAAAGTCAAACAACATATTACGACACGTGACGGATGGAGGTGACCTATCGGACATGTGTACCTGCTGCAATCAATCGTACACATATTCGGATGCGTTGTAAAGGTAGCATTTTTTTTTTTGTTCGAAGGATAATTGCGGATATGAGTCATGCACCTGCCTGGTACGATGTGGTGTAGTTTCCCCCGAAAAAGGACGAGGGTTGGTTTGCAGTAATTGCGACTTGTTGAATGAATCACTCACAGTAAGTTGGGAAAAGAAATAGGGTAGCAATGCATGATGTACGGGAAAAACTAGATGGAGTTGCAATGGTTTTGCTTTACAATGTATAGTTAGTGTTGTAAATTTAGTAGTTCTTTTTGGGAAACTAGTTTTTTTTTTTAATTAATTGATCACAACATTTCTTTACCGGGAGGCCACTCTACCGGGAAAACCGGGAGAACCCGTAAATAACCAAAAATTTGATGGCAATCTCAAATATGTTTATACATTTTTTAAATCGATCTGTCTTAATGTTTATGTAAATTTTTCTTCTTTTATATTTTCATATCAGAGGTGAAGTACTTAACAACTTTCCTTAGATTGCGATTTAAAATCATTAAAAACATCAAACATTTCCAAAGTCCTCAGGGAGGTAGGTTCTGTGTCTGGGATCTTTCAATATTTTCGATTTCTTAATTAACTAGGGAAAATGCACCAATAGTGGAGGTACGTTAGTACAATGTGTTTCCACAGTGGATTATGGAGACTCCATAAGCCACTATAGAAAAATATTGCATTAACAAACTCAAATATTATCTTAGTACATATTCACAATAATTCTCACGAGAATTCGCTCAAATTTTTCTACATAATTCTTTTGAAAAGTTACACTTTGAAAATTTACACTTGGAATATACCTTAGAATTTCCATGGAGTTCATCTTGAAAATCTAAACAGAATTATCATAGAATTCTCATCAGGAAATTCATCCCAGTAGCCCGAATGTATCTTAAAAAAATCATTTTAAATTCTCCTCAGAATTCATTTGAATTTCTTGAATTTAAATTCTTAATTCTAGTGGCCACCCTGGTTTTTAATATAGGTGTTTTATATTTGTTTTTGAAGATTCACTACGCTTTGACATAATTCGTACAGTAGAACGAAATTGGACGTTTGAGTATCTAGAATAAGGTGGACGACCTTGGATGAAAAATTCACATATCGCAAAGCTCCAAACCTTTTAAGTAAAACATATTCCATTTACAGAAGCTCCTATTCAAGCTTTACAACTTTCGCTTACAGAGCCTTCGTGAATAACAGCAGGGCTGAAAGTTAGGTTAAAAGTTACTATTTTCGATTGAAAGTTTAGGGGCACTTTATTCGTGAATATTGTCACTAAAGTCAGTTATTTGATGAATGCAAAATAAATTTTAGAGGTGCAATTAATTTTTGGTATTGCTAAAACGATATCATTATCAATATTGATTTATTGATATTCATTATTGATATCGTAATGAATACATTAAACTATTCACATGATCGTTATTGTACTGCATTTTGTTATTTAGGTTTTTGTTCGATGTTTCGAGATCGAAGCAAACGTAATTTTTAAAAAGGTTTGATCAAATTCAATAACAATAATCAAGGTTGCAAAGACTCATTTCAGCTAAAACAATGTTTTTCTAAATTATGAAATAATTAGATGCCATGATCAAATTTTGAATTGATAGGATACAAGAAGAGGTTGCAAAGAATGTTTTTGACATATTAAACCTGTTTATTTCACTTCATGAGAGTCACAGTCAGCGATTTTTCACAAACTCACTCACTCACTCACTCACTCACTCACTCACTCAGCGATCAGCAAATGGCTGATTGTGACTCATAGAAAGCAAAATTTACAGGTTTTATGTTTCCAACGCATACTTTGTAACCTCTTCTTGCAAGTTACAAGTAAAACATGCCATCATACCATCTTTTGGTTTTATTATTCCGAAAAACATTATTTTAGCTGAAATGAGTCTTTGCAACCTTGACAATAATAAGAAAGCGTGAAATTAAGGATGGCCATACAATCAGAAAAACCAACAATTAACCGGGAATCGAAATCAGCCGGGAAAAACCAGGAAATAACCGCGAATTTGGTGGCAATCTCTACATATATTTGTATATATTTTGACCGAATTCTATCAATGATATGTACTTTATTATTCTCTACTACACTATGTTTGTTGTTGTATATGCAAACTGATTTTTAATAGGTGAAATACTTAACTTAACGACGTAATTTCCCTTAGTCCGGGATAGAGAATCACTAAAAAGTCTTAGTTTCAGACACTTTGGACTCTTATAATTTATTCGATGTCCTGAGGTAATTTTACCTATCACACTCATAATGGGCTCCGAATCGTGCCATGCGAGTCAGACTCCAATCTTAGCAACTGCTCGAAGTTTTAGAATTTTTAATGCTATTTACCAAATCCTGTATCTTGAATTTCTGTGCCCCAAATTATGAATTACCTACGTAGATTATTTAAAGATTTTCACAAGACTATTCTTCATACGATATCTATGGAATTATCTCAAGAATTTCCTTAGAATCATCCCAAGATACTTTCAGAGTTGCTTTCAGGATTCCCCTGAATAATTGTATGATTCTTTCAAGCATTCCCTTGAATTTTGTTTCCTATAACATCCGTATATCGTGCATATCACTTCAGGAATCCCTACTATGAAATTTTAAGAATGCGCACTACGACTATTTTAGGTTTCAAATAATTCTTTCGAGAATTCATTTAATTAATTCTTCATAATTCTCATTGGTAAAATATCATTTAAGAATTTCCTTGGGATTAATTTCGGAATTGTCTTGGAAATCTAAACAAACCTATTTATGAATTTTTAGGATTTTTTTCAGTGAATTCCTTTGAAATTCAGCGTGACCGAAATGCCCCTTATATTCTATTAAGATTTTCCTTGCAATTTCCTCACATTCCTCTTTTGAATTCTTTTGAAAACAACGTATTTTGATCTCACATCTACAGACTGTATTCCAAAAGGTCAAAAGTTATCCGAAATTATAATCTATGTACCAAGCAACAATTTAGGTTGTATAATGCTTTTGATGACCAGCATTTGGGCTTGAATTATGCTTTAAAACCTAGATATTTAAAAGTTTTGATGTTATTTGGAGTATTTTACCATATGTAGCTGTTTTTATTAAAAGCTATGTTAGACATCCGTGAATATAAATTATTAAATCGAGTGGCCACCCTATTATTCAATGTATATATTCAATGGGCATAAAATGCATATGTTTTATCTGAATACATACGACTGAAATAGTTTGGACGCTCGGATAAACTTTCAAATAAAATCTCTACAAGTTATTACCATTAACTTTATTAAATAGAGTGAGTTTCAAACGATAAAGCTATCTGGAGGCCTAAAAATACATT